TATTATAAATTATGCAATCTGTGGTATTCAATCATAGTAGCAGAAAATGGATTAAGACATGAAGCATATACATATTCATTGCAGAATGAATGACAGTGTCATTTCATTTTTGTGTATGTTAGGAATGAAAAAGAAAGTATCCGTTATGACTTGTATATAAATGTTTCTGCAAAGCCTCATGTGTTCATAATTGAGGATCTTTGGAAGTGGCTGGATCTAGGATACTCTAATGTGGATTAAGGATGTGAGAACTAGAGTAGTCCACTGATTACATTACCATAGTTCCATGTGTGAATAATGGGAAGGCCCACCCTGGTTTTGGGTGGCATAATCCAAAAGGCTTCTAGCCTCAATGAGATAAAAGATAAAGGGAGGTTTTCTGCTTGCTGCTACCTGTCTATCCTGTTTATCCTTTGCAATCTCACTTTACCATATTGCCCTGCCTTGGAGCCAGCCGAATATGGATTGGAACCTCTACAAACAGTGAGCCAAAATAAACATTTTCTCCATTAACTCTGGGTGTAGAGTATTTTGTCCCAGCAATGAGAAATTAAATAAGACAGTGTCCTTAAAGTTATTTCATCAACAACTCTACATAAAGAGTGGAGACACAATCACACAATGTGAAATTGCTGAGGAAAATAATTAAGAATATGATGTTGAACATTTTTTCATATGTTCATTTGCTATTTCTACTTGTTTGTCTGAAAAATATCTGTTCATTTCAGATGCCCATTTTAGCATTGGGTCTTTAAATTTGGGAGGTCTGATTTATTTCAGTTCTTTACATATTTCAGATAGTAGACATTTGTCTGTGGAACATCTGGTAAATTTTTCCCACATTGTGGGTTTTATCTTCACTCTGATGGTGGTTTCTCTTGCTATGCAGAAGTTTTTAAATAAGAGATCCCACTTGTTCTTTGTGCTAGTGCATGTGTAACTGGGGTTTTGTTCATAAAATATTTTCCTATGCCAATGTCTTCAAGCATTCCACCTAACCTCTCTTCCAGCTGGTTTAGTGTGTTTTAATACTTAGATCTTTGATCCATTTCAACTTTAGTTTAGTGCATGTTGAGAAATATAGGTCTAGTTTTATTATTTGGCAAATTTAAACCAAATTTTTCTAGCACCATTTATTAAAGAGGCTATCATTCCCCCAGCAAGTGTTTGGCTCCTTTGTCAACGATGTGGTGGTTGAGTATGTCTAGAGTCATTTCTGCATATTCTAATCTGTTCCACTGGTCCTTGGGTTTATTTATTAGCCAATACTATGCTGTTTTTATCACAGTAGCATAGCAGTATACTTTCAGGTTGGGGATTGTGATACCCTCTACCTTCTTTTTGTTGCCTAGAATTGCTTTTGCTATTCTAGGTCTTGTCCTGTTCCAAATGAATTTTTGGATTGTTTTTTGTAGTTCTGTTTAGTATACTGTTGGAATTTTAATTGGGATTGCATTGAATCTATATGGCAGTTTTGGACGTATGGCCATCTTCACTATATTTGTTCTTCCTACCCAGGAGCAAGGGATGTCTTTCCATTTTCTGATATCCTCTTCAATCTCTTTTCAGAGTGCTGTAGTTTTTAGTGTAGAGGTCTTTTCTTTCATTCATTGGATTGATTCCTAGGGTTTTCATTTTTTTGGACGCTATTGTGAAAGTTGTTTCCCAATTTCCTCTCTCAGTGAGTCTGTTGTTCGTATATAGGAAGGCTGTTGATTCTTGTGTGTGGATCTTCTATGCAGCTACTCCACTGAATTTGGTTATTAAGTCTAGAAGACTTTTGGTGGAGTTCTTGGGGTCTTTTCATTATTTGCAAATGACATGGTATACTATACAGAATTTAATTACTTTATTCCCTATCTTTCTTTTCTCTTCTCTAATTGCTGTGGCTAATATTTCCCAAACTATATTGAACAGAAGTGGTGATAGTTGACATCACTGTTTTGTTCCTCATTCTAGCACGAAGAATTTCAGTTTTTGAACATTTAGTAGGATGCTGTTGGTTTTCCATAGACGGTTTTTATCAGGTTGAGGTAAAGACCATCTACTCCAATTTTCTGTAGGATTTTTTAACACGAATGGGTGTTGAATTTTGTCAAATGCTTTTTCTGCATCTATTGAGATGATCACATGTTTTTTGTCTTTGGCTCTGTTAATATAGTGTATTACATTTATTGATTTGCATATGTTGAACCATCCTTGCACCTCTGGGATGAATCCCACTTGTTCAGGGTGTGTGATCTTCTTGATGATCTTCTGCATTCTGTTTGCCAGTATCTTGAGGATTTTTGCATCTATGTTAATTAGAGAGATTGGCCTATAGTCCTCTTTTTCAGTTAGGTCTTTGTCTGCTTTTGGGATCAAGGTAATGCTTGCTTCAGGAATGAATTTGGAAGTATTGCTTCCCTTTCAATATCACTGAAGAGTTTAAGCAGTAGTGGCAATAGTTCTTCTCTAAATGTGTTGTAGAATTCAGCAGTGAAGCCATCAGGGCATGGGCTTTTCTTAGTTGCTAAGTTTTTTTTGTTTTTGTTTTTGTTTTGGATACTGGGGATCAAACTCGGAACCTTGCGCTTGCAAGGCAGGTGGCGAAACCACTGAGCTAAATCCCTGGCCCTAGTTGGTAAATTTTTCATTACATTTTCAATTTCACTCATTGATTTGGGATTGTTTAGAATTTTTAGGTCTTTGTTCAACTTTGGTAATTCATATGTATCTAGAAATCTATTTCTGTGTTCCCATCTTATTGCATGTATGTTATCAAGGTAGGTACTGATGATCCTTTGGGTTTCTGCTGGGTCTCCTGTAATTTCACCCTTTTCATTCCTAATTGCATAGATTTGGGCCTTTCCTTTTTTATATAAGGTTGGCTAAAGATTTTTCAATATTCTTTATTCTTTCAAAGAATCAACTGTTTGCTTCATTGATTTTTTTCTATCATTCTCATAGTCTCCAATGCATTGATTTATGCTCTGATCTTTATAATTTCCTTCCTTGTATGAGCTTTAGGTTTGTCCTGCTCTTCTTTTTCTAGAAGCTTGAGGTTCAGCATCAGGTTGTTTATTTGCACTGGCTCTGTTATCCTAATGAATATTCACTGCTATTAATTTCCCTCTCAGCACTGCTTTCATTGCTCTGCATAAATTCCAATGTTGTGTTGGCATTTTCATTTAATTGTAGAAACTAATTTCTTCTTTACTTTCCTCTGTGACCCACTGCTCATTCAGGAGGGTGTTGTTCAATTTCTATGTGCTTATGAAGTTTTTGTTATTTCTTTTGCTATTAATATCTAATTTCATTGCACTATAATCTGATAATATACAGGGGATAACTTCAATTCCTTTGCATTTAAACATGTTCTATGAGCAAATATGTGCTGTACTTTGGAGAACAATCTGTGTGTAGCTGAAAAGTATGTGTATTCTGATTTTGTGGGTTGAAACACTCTGTAAACATCTGTTAAGTCCATTTGTTCAGGAGTTTTGTTGAGTTCTATTATTTTTTTATTTTTTGTCTATTGGATCTATTTGTAACAGTGGGGTATTGAGGTGCCTCACTACTATTGTATTAGTGCATATTTAATTTTTCATGTCTATTGACATGTTTTATATATTTGCATGCACTAGTATTTGGTGCTGACATATTTATGATTAATTCTTCCTCTTGAATTTTTCCTTCACAAGGATATAGTGGCCTTCTCTTTCTTATTCTTGTTTTGAAATCCATTTTATCTGCAAATGAGATAGCTAGTCTTTCTTTTTTTCAGGTTCCTGTGTCATGGAGTATTATTTTTTACTGTTTAACTTTAATAGGTCATCAGGGAGATGCAAATGAAAACAATACGGAGATGCCACTTCACTCCAGAAAGAATGGCTGTTATCAAGAATTCAACCAGTAACAAATGCTGGCAGAGTTGTAGGGAAAAAGGAACCCTCCTTCATTTGGTTGAAATGTGAATTAGTACAGCCATTATGGAAATCAGCATGGAGACTTCTCAAAGAATTGAAATTAGAAATTCCATATAGTCCAACTACCTCCCTGCTATATATCTTCCCAAAAAAGTTTAAATCATCATACTAGAGTGACACATGCATACCAATGCTTATTTCAGCACAATTCCTAATAGCTAAATCCTGGAAGCAGCCTATATACCCATCAGTGGATGACTGGCTAAAGAACATACGCTATGAATATATAATGCAATACTACTCTGCTATAAAGAATAACAAATGTGAGATATTTGTAGGAAAATGGGTGCACAGGGAATATATAATGTTGAGCAAAATAAATCAAGACACAGAAGTTTAAATAACATGGTATGTCTCATATGAGACGTGGAACAAAGAAAATGACATAGGATGGATAGAAAGGGACAAGGGGACAGACCTATTGGAACAAGAAAGGGTTCCAAGGAAACTAGGGTGAGAGGTGGGGAGGAGAGGATAGGGAAATAAGAAAGATATGCCATGTACAGGAACCTAATAATCCCTATTAATATAAACACTATGTCATAACATGAGGTAAGACAAATAATATCAACAAGTACGAAAAACAGGTAGGGGAACCTGTGAGGGAAGGGGGAGGAGGGAATGGGAAGGGGATTAAAAAAAACAAGCAGTAATATGTACATGTAACCACTCCCAAGATGACTGTAAACTGCATAAATTGTAAGCATGTACCAATTGAAAAAAATACATGCTCACAATTCTCTCAAAATATGTATCAATATAAACTATAGAATAAAATTCAAAAATATCTTTTGTTACACAGGATGTGGAGTATATACACCAAAAATTTAAAACAAAAGCGGGGCAAAATTCCAAGAAAAAAATTAACAACATTAATTTTTAGTGGTCCCCCTATTGTAACAACAAAACAAAAACTACATACTTATGCTACTTGAAAGTAAATAATACATTTTAGGACCAAGGATTTAGCTCAGTGGCACCATGCCTACCTCATAAGCACAAGGGCCCGAGTTCAATCCCAGGCAACAGAAATAATATTTCAATTAACCAGGTTTAATTAACACAAAATGCATTAAGCTCAGACACAAAAAAATACATAATCTCAACACAATTTTTATATTAAACAGTATGGATACATAATCAAGATATTTATATTTACTGAAAAACACAATGTTTGTACTTTAGGATATCTCCATCTGGGATTGTATTTCCTGGAAAATTCAGGAAGAAATATTGACATAAAATTTTTTGTATTATTTCTACCGGTCCTTGTCAGAAATTTTCACAGGATTTTCAAAATAGGGTTACATACATAAAATTTCTCCCCAGTGCAACTTCTTTCATTTATGCAATATGTTTGTACTGAAAGCTTTCTCACATTTGTTTACATACACAGGGTTTTACCCAGTGATTTTTATGAAATGAGGACTTAGCAGCAAATTTTTTGATATTGCTTACATACATAGGGATTCTCCCCAAATAGTTCTTTTCTATGACAAGTACCACTTGTGCTGAAAGCTTTCCCACATTGCTTACTTAGGGTTTCTCCTCAGTGTGAGTTCTTTCATGTCTTTGACAATGACCATGTGTGTTGAAAGCTTTCCCACACTGTTTACATACATAAGGCTTCTCCCCTGTATGAGTTCTTTCATGTATTTGACAACTAGCATGTATGCTAAAAGCTTTCCCACATTGCTTACATACATAAGGTTTCTCCCCAGTGTGACTTCTTTCATGTATTTTACA